GGGTGCAGGTCCCCTAAGTGATGCCATATGCTCCAATAATTCCATTAATAATGGGAGCAGGGCTGGGTCCCTCCACAGCAGCTCTGCCTCACTTCAGAGGTGACACAGGGGGAAAGTAAAGGAGGGGAGCGAGAGAGCAAGAAATTGATTTCATATGTTTTCTCTCTAGCTAGTGTTCCAAATGCGTGAGGATCAATGCCTACTTATGCCTTCCCCCCACCCCCACCCCCTCCCCTTCTCCTCTCATCACCCCTGTATTCTAGAGGAGAAACCACAGACTTCCTTCCTGCTCCTTCAATTTGTTTTTCCAAACTCTAATGCGCATCCATTTACTATTTCAGCATGTTTCGCATTACCAAAAAAAAAAAATAATAATAAAAAGGCAGCTCGGAGCAACGCTGTTCAACTTATTTGTTCATTTTTATTTTTTTACATAAAAAAAAAAACAATATTTCCCCTGACTTTACTGATTTATTCCTCTCCCATCTTTGTAAACCTCCTCGTTCTCCTCACAGACTCCCTCGGGTTTGCTGCTGGCTCACAGTCCGCTGCTGCAGGGGATCCACTTCTGGAGCAGCCTGAGCCCCGTCGCCCCCATCAGCCCCGCCCGGCTGCAGGGCCACAGCTCCCTCTTCCAGGTAAGAAGCTCATGCAGGTGGGGGGGTGGGGGTGGGGGAGGGGAAAGCAGAAGAGAGGGATTACAAAAAAAAGGCAGAAAAGCAGAAGAGACTGTGCATTTAAGGGTTGATTGTTTACAGGAAGTGCTCTGAAGCAGAGGAGGAAGTTGTGAGGTCGTGCTGGTAAAACGTGCTCTGCAGTAAAATCCTCTCACATTTTTTTAAATTAGATATAAAGAACAAATAAACCTGTTTTAACAGATTCAGCTCCGTAATTTATATAAACACAATTTCATCACCAAGTTTTTTTTTTTTTACTTAACAGGAAGCTTAATTATTTTTTTAAATCGCCTACACTTGATGGTTTTTTTTTTGTTATCTGCAAAGCAGCAGACACCAACGGTTGTGAAACAAGTTGGGACTTTGTAAGCAGGTCCTGCAGAGGTGTCCTGTTTCAGCTCTTGTGAGAGGGAGAGGAAATCCTGTGAATACTTCCTGTTTGAGCCCAGGGGAGCCAGTCTGAACAGGGTGGACTGGTTTGAGAGCTGCTCCTCATTTATGGAACACACACAAGCACAACCTCCTCATGCGCACACACACACACACACACACACACACACACACACACACACACACACAGAACGCCAGGTTCTTTAAACACAAATGCTGCTGTAGGTGCAGATGAAAAGGAAGGAAGAAGCACAATGAGTCAAACCAAATATCAAAAATAAAAAAAAAAGAATAAAAAACAGGAAGCCGGAGCAGTGACAATGCTGCAGTTCCTCACCGGAAAGCTAACGCTCAGCCCCTCTCTCTGTCTCTCGCCTTTCCTCTACAGTTCCCCAGCCTAATCAACGGACACATGCCCGTCTCCCTCCCAAACCTGGAAGGAACACCCTCCTCTCTGCTTCTGTCCCCCACCACCCACAAATCCTGATTCAGGGTCTCCAAAGATCGTCCACCTCCAGCTGAAAGGTTCTCCTCCATCATCATCATCTTCTGCAGACATGCTCACCTTGTTGAATCCAAAAAAAACCCGACCCCCTCATCCCATTTCTTTGTTTTAGTACTTGAGCTGCTCCAGATTCAAAGCACTTGGTCCAAAGCCATACAGCACGATGTCTGAGAGACATCTGGGACAACAGACAGCTCATTTCCACACCACCCTGTCCACAAGGGGACAGATATGTTGCTCGCTGCAACGCTTAAAGTGAGAGTTCAGATATTCTCAAGTGGGGTTCTACTGAAAGGGTTTTAAACAGTTAATATCTTACCTGTTGTAGATGGCTGTTTGAACGACTTCAGACTGGAGAAATTGGCGCTTTCTTTTTCCACCTCAGGAATCGGGATAAGTCCTGGTAGAGAGGTAGTATTTTTTTTAAAATATCCAGAAACTTTCAGGCGGTCCGCACCGCTGATGGTCTCATTTGTTTCTAAAGTTCACAAGAAGTCTCAGTCCGGGACTGAGTCATGTTCTGGACATGTTGGTCCATTCAGAAGACATGAGGAGACAGTGAGGGGATATTGTTGAGTCGACGCACAGCAGCTTTAAAATGAGTTAACCACAAAGAGTTTGGCTAAAGTGAGTTCATTACACACTTGGTGGTAAGCTACGTTGTAGCCACAGCTGCCCTGAGGCACGCTGACATTCAGACTCACATCTGAGCAGGAGGTGTCTGAATCCATCTGTGATTTATGTCTGGCCACAGATTATAAAGGTAGACTGGGCTGTGTGTTCATTTTGCTGAACTTTATGTCTTATGGAGCATTAAATATGTTCTTGTAAAGAGAGAAAAACACCACTGTAGTAACTACGCCAGACCTGCATGTGGTGCAAAAATACACCAAAAACAGGAAACATTGGGCCTCATGCAAAAACCATTCATACGAACAGATTTGTTCTTAAGTTGTGCGTACGAGTGATTTAGGAGAATTTGTGGCATTCACCAATTTTCTCGTATTCTAAGATTTTCTTCAGATACGAACAAAATTCACGAGTGGTCCAGACCTGTCGTATATTTTACGAGCAGTCAGTCTGCTGTTATCCAGATGAGTTTTCCTCCCTAATAACTTTATATTTCATTAGTTTGAAGATATTTTGAGTTGAAAATAAATTACACTCCATAATTATGTTGACAATAGGCTGTTCTGTTTGAATTGAAATTATAATTTTAAATGTAATAATGTAGACTAACGACATAAATTAGTTAAATTAAATTGGTTATTAAAGCTGTTGTATAACACTACAATATTAATATGAAGATCTCAAACTAAAAACCAACTTAAATTATGCATTAACTGAAGTTTGGAGACATTTTAAAATGCTTTTATTCAGAAGTCTGACACATGCGACGGTGGGGGAGACAGCCGGTGTTGGTGGGGGGTAGTGATGCGCAGCTGCTCTTCTTCTGAATAAAAGAAAACTATGTAACACAGTTGTTTAAAATTAATTTAAAAATATTTGACCAAAGGAAAATCAGAGCAAGACTAGAGAGAGATAAATATGATTTAGATGTTTATTTCTGTGACTGTACGACCGACAGGAGACACGACATTAACAGCAGTAGTTATTTCATTCCTCGGCTTTAGCAGGTCTGACGCTGCTAAAAATGACCGATTTTGTTTTCTGGATCTCTGACAGCAGGACTTCAATCTCTGAACTCGTAAAGTTCTTCTTTTTTACTTTGCGATGTCATTTATGAATGAACACTTCCTGGTATGTGGGGCAGGAAACATATATCCTTATATGGTGTTTTTGGGGTGGTAATTATGCCAATTACCTCTCTGTGTTCACGAGCAGCTGATACGCATTCATCATGTTTAAGCAGCTCATTTACACACTTTTCCTGAAGATAGAAGAGTTTGTTGAATCTGACGTGGCATGTTCGTACAAACCCTTCGTACGAAAAAAATAAGAGAAATTTAGGATAAGAATATAAACATGTTCTTGCATGAGGCCCAAGGTGTAGAAAGCTTACAGCTTGCACACTGAGTATATGTAAATATGAGAAAAAGAAGTTGGTTGTTAAATCAGAGGTGAGGCTGTGGCTTTAAAAGGGTGGCATTCAAAATTCAAATCTGAAACCTGATTTAAAAACAGAAGAGAGCTCATTTCTGATTGGTTGAGACTCCCACAGCTGTTTCATTAGCCGGGACCTAAAGTAGAAACATCAAGCTCTCCAGGTCCACTCTGTTGTGACAGAAATGTTATCTTTACCTGTTAAGTTAGCACATAAAGAACTGGTAATCTTAATGTAACGTGTTGAAACTGAGGGAGCCCCCCCACCCACCCCCCACACACACACACGGTTAATGTGCAGTTAGCTCCTCGCCTCCGTTCTGCAGTGTTTGGAAGCAGCTTATATCTGGACTGGACTTTGGATCAGTTCTGTGAAAGGAGCTCGTGTGCAGCCGCTGTCTGACCAGCTGCAAAAACTTCAGCAGCTCAGGCTGTAGTGGAAACATGACGGAGAGCGGAAACAGTTAGCATAGCCTCATGGAAGAGTTGAAGAAGAGTTGAACCCTGACGAGCTAACAGCTAATCGGAGCCGGACCAAGACCAGAGTGCATTGCTTCAGGCCAAAAACGACTCCAGCCTCAAAAATTGTCCGTTTATTCAAAGGCTAACAGTTTTTAATGCCAGTTTCTCATGATTGTTGTGTCCCAGGCTGGAAGAGCTGCAGCTAACATTAAGTTCTCTTACAAATACCCACAATTCAAAGTAAATATCTGAGATGAAGTTGTTTACAGAGGCAGCAATCCACTTTGGTCTGAGCCCCACTCTGACAGGTAAGATATTTACTGTTCATGCCCATTTCTCAGAAGCCTACTCTAACAAAACTATTACTTTAACTTGTCTGATTCTATGCAGAGCTTTTGTCATTTTATTCTTGTAAAATTGTTTTTATCTCCTTTTAAAACGGTAATCTCAGCGTGAAGCGACTTGTTCCGCTGCTGTGATTTTTGTATGTAGTGTATGCACTATGCTTCAGATAGTACCAGCTGTGCCTTATTGTCCTACTTTTTACTTTATTACTTTAAATGAAGACGAGATTTCAAATCAATTAAAAAGTTTTTTCAGTCGTTATCTACTTTTTTATACTGGACTTGTCATACAGTTTGTATCCTGTATGTGTTGTTTTGGTTTTTTTGTATTGTTTAAAAAAAACATTTTCAATAAAGACAGCATTGAATGCTTGAACAGTCTCATAAAATAAAAAAAGCAGCTTTGTATTAAAAACAAAACAGCATTTTTTTGGTTTAAATTTTTTAATTTATTGTCTTTACTCTGGAAAAAAAGATGAGAGGGGGCGTTTGCAACCAAAAATTCCCACACCAAGAAGAATTATTCACAACAAATATGATACAAAAAAAACATGTAACACTGTTAAATAAAGCGTGACTCAGATCGGACTCAGCAGGGGCGGAGCTTCATCACACCACAGAGCAGGCATGCAGCACGATGACGGAGGAGAAAAGGTCAATTTTAACACTTGACTGAAACAGGAATGGTAGACTGGAGAAAGATCTGCAAACACAAAGGCAGCAGTACAGCTCCGACACTGGGAACTCCCACGTCACGTGCCTGGCTCACACAGGTAGCAGTAAGGTGTTTCAATCCGTCCAGTGATGCTTTTAATTCAGTTTTCTTCTAAACGCCAGCATCCAATGCAAACCTGTTTTATTTCTCTCCAGATGTAACTTCAAGAAAAAAAAAGCTCCGCTCATGTTTTACCTTCGACTGGGATGAAAGCTATCTTTTTTTTTTTTTACGGCCTCAAAACTAGAGTAAAATGGTCACAGATGATCGGCGCAGCACCGTGTCAATGGAGACGAGACATCGAACCGCTACAGAAACATCCCTCCGTCTGCGAGGTGGAGGTAAATGTTAATGACAAAATGAGCAAAAATAAAAAATACCACTTCAAAAACAAACAAACAAACAAAAAAAGAATCTTAAAAATCTATACACATGGCATGTATTCATTAAAGTGACTGAGCCAGTTAGAATTCTAAACAGTAGTTGGATTTAGCAGCAAATCGTTTGTTTTCTCAATAAATATAGATGTACAGAATATAAACGTCTCTTTTCGGAGCAGGGCCCGTGAACCAGAACCCCGGGAGGAGGTGAGGAAGGGTCGTGCTGTGGATGCACACACACACACCCCGCTTGAGGAGTCGACCGGGGTGGAGGAGTGATGATGATGATGTTCTACTCGGACATCCATCTCTGATCCGTCGGAGATCCTTCTCACCAACAAAAATTAAAAAAAAAAAAAAAGTCCAGGAAATTTAAAACAGCATGCTTTGTCTTCTGCTCTTCCCAGTACCTGGTGGAAAAACAAAATATATTTATAAGCTCTTCAAACTGCCTTTGTGTCATTTAATCAGATGAAAGGAGCTCCTTCAGACAAACAGGAAGTACAACCAATTAACTCCAAATGCTTGTTATGCTCTACAGAAATAGCTGTAACTTAGTCAATTTTACAGATATTAAATTAACATTAGGGGTGGTAGTAGCTGAGAGTCTTATTCATCACCAACTCAAAGCTCCAAAAGATTTTATTAAAATTTTGTTTCAAACTTTGTCACGTGAGGCGGTAGGGGAAATGCATTCATTAAAACATGCTACTTTTTATCCAGCATGTTGAGCATTCAAACTTTAACAGATGTCCATAATGTGCAGTGATTTACTGCAGTCCTGCTCAGAAGCTGTTTGTTTGTGTAAATATCTAATTTAGGGAAACAGAACAAAATAAAGTGTTTTTTGTGTGTATTGTTAGTGTTGTGGACTGATACTGTCTCAATCCCTTTCCTCTCCCTTCATTCCTCACCTGATTCTGGGTACGAGGAGTTCCGGTAGCCGGGGTCTTTCTGCATCTGTACCTCCTTCAGTGTAAATATTGATATATCTGCAGACATCAACAGTTTTAGCTTTAACACACTAAACAGGAAACTTTACCGGGAGAAGTGACTCTTTCAAACGGAGCCTTCAGGTTGGGCTGCATTACAGCATCACAAAGCAATTACTCACTCTCTGGCAGCGTTTGCACACGTGGCCCCAGGCTCCTGAAGTACGGGTGCCTCATTGCTTCATCAGCAGAAATCCGCTTTTTCGACTCGTACTGAAAAATCAGGAGAAACAGAAGCAGCTGTTCCAGATTAGACAGAAACGAGTCAGGAAGTGTGTGAAACACTGAGAAGGCAGGCACATTTCTAGACGCAGGAACAGAAAAACGTACTTTCAGGAACGAAGCGAGCAGCGGGATCCCATCGCTGTCCAGCCTGTGTGGAGGGAGGGGGGGAGAGAAGAGAGCGGGGTCAGTAAGGTGGGGGGGTGACTCACTGGGTGTAAGGAAGGAAACGGAGCCAAACGCAGTCAACTATTCCACAGGATTTCCTCACAGGAAGTGACAAAGAGCGCACACTCCTAACTAAACTCTAGTCATGTCTAAAAGCTGAACTGGGTTTAATACCTGGCTCTCAGAGGGAATATTTGATCAATCTCTTCTCCAATGATAAGTGAACTAATGAGAAAGGTGAGCAGGTTGTGTTAATTAAAGTAAAGAGGTGTAATTGTTAAAATGTAAAACATAAATACATCTACCTGGGTGCGTGGTTAATCAGAGGTTGGGGTTTGTACTTGGGGAACTTGTAGGACTTGAACTCGTCGATGGAGGATATTCCAGGCCAGCTGTCTTCTGTAGGAGTGCCTGTGGAGGGACAGTCAGTGGACTCTTTTAGAACCGGGCTTCACCGGGCCAGCTGAAAGGGGCTTTCAACACGGCGAATAGGAGGAGGGGGGGAGCCAACATGCCAGCTTCAATGAGATTACAAAGTTGTTCTCCATCAGCAGGGGGCAGCACTGACCTAACAGCCTGAAGATGAGGTGCAGCTCGTCCTCCACTGTGGACCCGGGGAACAGGGGCCTGCCAGCAGCCATCTCAAAGAATATACAGCCCACACCCCTGAGAGCATCAAAGAGGGGGAGGGGGTCAGTGATGTTTGTTGGTGGAAAATATCTTGATCAGATCCCAGAACCCCCCCCCCCCAGCAGAGTGAGGCCCACTCACCACATGTCTATCTGCGTGGAGTACTCCGAGGAGCCCAGCAGCACATCGGGAGGTCGATACCAAAGCGTTACCACCTCGTTAGAGTAGGTTTTAGTCGGCACCGACTTGGCCCTCGCCAGGCCTGTGGAGCAGAAACCAGAACAATCAAACAGAGACACAAACAACCATTCACTCCCTAACTCAAACAAGGGGTGAAAGAGGGGCTTGTGGAGTTACAATAAAGAGGAATTCAAAACAAAAGCATTGCAGTTCCACTTTATTTAAACCCCAACTGAATGATTTTACATTGAAAAGCATATGAGTCCTTTAATGTTTTTTTTTTTTGTGAAACTTTAAAGGGATTGTTTGCTCTTTTCTGAAGTGACAGTGACTCAGTTGGTAGAGTTGTTGCCTCTCAGTGAGGAGGTTGCTGGATCTAATCCCAGCCAAGGGCCTCTATGATAGAGTTTACGTTCACAATGTGCATGTGTGGGTTTCCTCCGGGTACTCTGGTTTCCTCATGACTGTTAGGCTAACTGGTAACTCTACATTGTCCCTAGGTGTGAGGTGTCTCACATCAACTCATTTTGAGGCTGTCTCTTTAAATGCAAACAAGCTCTTCACAGCCCGCCTCCTCTCCAGCTTCCTTCCTAGTTTGATAGAGGGGTTTATGTCTGTATAGCAGCGCAGAAACATTTTATTTACAACTTAATTAAAATATGTCAACAACAGAAAACTCATCCATCCAGCCTCACATGTTGGAGCCAGAGTCTAACCCAGAATCATAAAATGAAGACGATCACATTGTAGTTGGTAAATACAGACCTTATTTTTCTGTCCTGTCACAAATACTGAGAGACAATATTTCAGAAAATGTCATAGAAAATAGAGAAAACTGAACGGGTTTAAAAATATGATCCAAACAGAATATAAAGATATCTACGTAGCACCGGGAGAGACTCCAAACACACAACAAAATGCATTTAACGGTTAAAAACGTGGATTCTGCAGGACATGTCCTCTTTAATTTGTTTTTGTTTTGTTTTTACCAAAATCAGCCAGTTTGAGCTCCCCTCGGTCGTTGATGAGCAGGTTTTGGGGCTTCAGGTCTCTGTGGAGAACTTTCCGTCTGTGACAGTAGGCCAAGCCTCGCAGGATCTGGAATAAAAAAATCTAAAGAGGGGAAAAAAATTGTCTGTTATATTTCATATTTTACAGGTGTCAAAACCATCTTCAGACAGCATCTCAGTAATCTAAATATGTTTATGGAGTTAAAACAGGGAAAAGAAAAAAAACATGGCTAAGATAACATGTTTGGCCAGCAGGGGGCGCACAAACAGTGGTTCTGGCACCAACATGAGCTCAGACCTCCTGACAGATGACGGTGGCTCTGGTGAGGCTCACCTTGACGTTGTGCATGCTCAGGATGTTCCCACAGTCGTCCATGTACTGCTTCAAGTCCTTGTCCTGGAAAAAGGAGGTCATCGGTGAGGCACAGAAGCTGCAACATTTGGTAAACAACAACAAAAACTCTGCAGACGGTCATGAACAACAACAATATGAATAAATGTGAGCGGCCCTGAAGAGGAACAACAACACGAGGCAGAACCGAGGTGACGGCAGAGGTGAACCCAGTCTCACCAGGTATTCAAACACCAGTGTGAGCGACTTGTCTGTGTGGACGATATCGTGCAGCGTCACGATGTTGGCGTGTTTCAGGTCCTTCAGTAAAGACACTGGAATGAAAAAACATGACAGGTGCTAATTAATAAATGACTAATTGTTCAGTTTTTATTGTCAGTGTGATCTGATGTTAAACACGTCGCCCATCGCCTTTCTTACTGAGTGTCTGTGTTAGCAAAATATCTCATGAACAGGACAAATTCTTACAAAGCTTGTAGAAAGTAATCTTTAGATGTACGTTAACTATTGGTTAATGTTTGGAGCCAATTCAATTCAAGATGATCAAATGATCATTAAAAAAAACTAACAAAAACTCAGTTTTAACAGATTAGCTAAAACTTGATGTGTAGTAGTAGAGACTCATCCCCAGCACACATTATGATCATATCACACAATACTTTAAGAAATAATTTAATTTTAGAAATCAACTTTATCTCCTAACCCACTAGGGTAGATTTAATCGAAACTTTCAAACTAAATTAGCTGAATCATTAACTTTTCTATTCAATCTAAATCAAGAAGGCTGCCACAGCCTTTAAATAATACAAAAAAAGGATATAATCCAGTCAGTTTTACAGAAATCAAGCTAAAATTAGGAGTGGTAGCAGCTGAGTCATTCACAACACAAACTCCGAGAGGGACGTTATTTTTAACCAAATCAACTGAAACATAATTTCTCGGCAGAAAATGACCTCACTAAAATTCTGACATGAAAGCGTTGGACGGTATACATCCCTTCAAAGAGGCCAGGTCTTTAATTTAAAGCTATCTCAGCTGTTTGCTTGTCAACTTGGTCAGGACTGAACTATTTCTGCAGTTTGAGGGCGTTCAAGGAGCTATCTACACCAGGTAAGATACTGACTGATCATATTTGTTTTCAGGGCCTCATTTGAAAAGATCTGAACTGTTTCTTTAGGGCTGTGTATAGATCAGCCCTCAGCTAAAAGCCTGAAACACTTGAGCTTTTTATTCTCTGCTCTAAACCTTACCTTCTCGGATAGCCGTGCACGGCGCCCCCTCCTCGTGCTCCAGTCTGATCTCCTTCAGCGCCACCAGGTTTTCCGTCAGCTTACTCCTCCCCTTATAGACCGTTGCGTACGTGCCCTGGAGGTCAAGAGGAAAAGATTAATAAATAAAATAGTTTCAGGAGCCGGAGCGAAGCGGCACAATCTGGTTGTCAGGGGTTAGAGCATTAGCACCTGGAAGACGAGGTTGTAAATCTCACATACCTCCCCGAGTTTGTCCAGTTTGATGTAGGTCTCCAGCTTCCCAAAACCAATTTCTGACTGGAGGAAAGAGAAAACAACAACTAGCATTAATGCTGGGAGCTGTTACAACACTAAAACATCAGGATCAATCCTCACGACTGTCTGAAGTTGACTCAGATATGTTAACATCAAACTCCTTTAAAATATTTTATTTTTACCCATTTCTGCTTGAATAATTAAATCTAACTTCATACTGAATAAAATATTCAATGCTTGCAGACGTGATGAAGAAGTGAAAAGAAATGTTACCTTCACTAACACTTGGCTGTGAAGCTAAACACAAACTAATTATGCTCTGAAAGCTGCTGGGCAAATCAAAAGCTCCTCTGCAGCGACTGTAACGCAGGATGAGGTCCAGCTCCTGCTGAGCTGACGGCTCAGAGGTCAAACACACGAGCAAAGCCTTTCAGAGCTGTGGAAACAACACTGCGGGGCGGCGTGTACGCACATCAAACTGATGGGAGAGGCTGAGTGTTGGTTCTTTGCTCTGCTTTGGCCAGATGCAGACTCAAAATAAAAACCAGTGAATACAGAAGCTGCTGACTGGGCAGCAGCGTAAACACGAGCAGAGAGGAGGAGTTTAGATGAAGACGAGGTAAAAGCTCTCACTTCCTCTTAATGCAGCTCATAAAAACAACGTTAGCAGCCTCCCTGTGACCTCCTGCTCCGCTTCACTTTCATTCACAGCTCATCCTCTGATGTGGGCTGGAAAACTCTGCATCTATTTATTTACAAAACATATTCACAGGAAAACAGCCCTTCAGAACATGAATGAAGTTCATACAACTTCATTCAGTAATGCTTCAGTCTAACGCATGTCTGTGACCAACTCTAAACACCTCCACATGCTCCTTCTGATCTGCTGAAACTGACTCTCAGTGACAAACAGCCGAAAAGCTCATGAACATGAAACAGACGTGAACGGAAGAACCTGCCTGATAAAAACTGTGGAGCTTTAATCAGGACATATTTGTGGACAAATTAATGGGAAAATGGGACTTCCATACAGAAAATTCCAACAAAAGCTACAAATAACATCCAAACAGAAAAGAACAAAGTGTCAGGTCAGGTAAAAACTCGTCAATAACGCTGAAGTCTACATTTAGTTGAACAAATGTTTGTGACGATGACCATTTTTCAAGATGATAATGCATCTTGTCACAGGGTAAAGGACCTGAAAACTTTCAGGAGAAACGTGTAATCTGATCTCAAACCAGTTTAATTTCTCTGGTGGAAACTGAAGAAAATGATAAGCTGCAATCAAAATGTTGGAGGCAGACTGGTGAAAAGTGCTGTTCATCATTATTTAGGTTTTTTAACAATACTTGTAGATGTTTCACCACTTAATGTCATGTTTAGTTATTGTGTTTTGATATAACACTCTTATGTTCATCATTGATGTTGTTTATTTTTGTGTTTCCTCTTTCCCTTATCCCTTCAAGTGTCCTTGGCACTAACCAGGCCAGCACTTTGTATTTAGTTGAAGGATCCAACACAACAAAAAGTAAGAAAACATCTGAAACTAGACACGGGTTTTTACGATGTAAAAACAAGTGTGCATTGCCACGTAGCATGTCATTGCAGCATGGCTTTGCCTGCAGCAGTGGACTTGCAGAATGAACTGTGACCAAGTTCAAATGTGTTTTCTATACCAGCTTGTGCTTGTCAAGTCAGCAGGTGTTTGTAATTAAGGTAATTTTGTGAAAATATGAAGTTTGTAGAGATTTTCTGTTAGTTGTTGTTGCTGGGTTTCAAACCCTGATCTCCACATGAAAGCCCATGGCAGTAACCATGAGACCATTGGAGCTGTGGTAGAGAACGAGGCCAGGGTTTGGTTTGTATGTGTGCAGAAAGAGGCCACATTGCCAATGTAATGGTTGTCACTAATTTGAAATATATTACAACAATAAAGCAATACAAGGACAATATTATAGTAAAACATCAAAATACAATCATGTTAGTATTGTAAACACTGAACTATTGAGATTAAATATTATTAAACTATGGTGCAGTGCTGGGTAGATGCAGCAGGGGCCGTATTGGACCAATACAAGGCTCCATTGATTCCCATTATATGATTTTAAACATTAATATTTCAAAAACTATATGTTGTACAGGCACCAAAAGGCATAGCCATCATTTGGCATGGGAGCTTTACAAACATAAATTACAATGGCAGCTCTAGGACAAAGTATGCAGGAGGAGAAGTGTGCCAAAATGAAGATGACTTGGATGGGAAACGAATCACAATAGTGTGCATTGCATTGGCAATGCACACTGATAACTTCTGTGAGTTTGACAGTTTTTAGTTATTCTTTGATAAACCACGTGGGTTAAAGTCTTTCAGATGATGTAACTAAGCCTGGTTTTAGGTGAAACTCTTCTTTCGGCTTACTTTCATGCTAGAATGTTCCTCCTCCAACAATCTTCTCAACGTTGGGACTCACGACATCGTTCAGGATCTCGTCTGTTTAAATAGTTCCTTTTAAAAACACTCTGGACTTCATCTTGGCGACATCAGACCAAACCTGGTCCCGGCATTCATCAGGCGTCTGAATGTTCTTTCAGAAAGTTTCATCTTATCGTTTTGGGCTGAGGAGCAAAGAGTGTTTACTCTGGATGCTGTCCAGAGGGGCTGACGTCACAGATTCCTGCTCTGAGATCTGAAAGAAACTTTTATTTTCCTCACTCGACTGTTTAAAGAGGAGAGTTTTCCAACATGTCCATTCAAACCGTAATCTAAAAATATCATTACAATAATTAATATTAATAAATGTTTTTTCTTAGATATAACTCGCCATACCTCAATACCCAACAGCTGTAGGGGTTTTAACAGACCTGCAACATTTAAAATGTGTATATAATGTACATGTATAACATTATAAACCCATTTTGAGCTTTTATTTCTCAATTAAGTGGAGGTTTGCTAATTTTTCCACGGATTTATTTCCAATGTAAATTGAAATTTAGTATTTGAATTAGGGCTGCCATGATAAGTCAACTAGTCACGATTATAGTCGACTATTAAAATCGTCGACTAATTTAATAGTTGATGCGTCATTTTTTTTTCTAACTTTGTTTTTCTCTCCAAACTGCTGCGGCACTTTCCACTGCCACATCTGCCTTTCTGTCCTTCACACACATGTGCAGTAGATTGGTAATTAGGGCTGCCACAAATGGTTATTTTTATAGTCGACTAATAGGTGATTAGTCCACTATAAAAAATATAAAGTTAGAAAAAAAAGACGCATCCACTATTAAATTAGTCGTTGAAGATTTTAATAGTCGACATAATCGTGACTAGTCGACTAATCGTGGCAGCCCTAATTTAAATGTTACTGAATTTGATTACCAGGTACTGTATGACTGTTCTGTTTGTAGCTGGCTATAAATTGAACCTGTTTGGCTCTTTGTAAATAAACGGCTTTTTATTAACATGAGAGCTTTCAAAAAACAAGCTCTATTTTTAAAAATGTAAATCTTAATGTTCCATTTATTCCTAACACTTCCAAGGTCTTATTAAGACAAAACTCATGTTGTGATTTTTCATTGTCGTCAATAAATGACTGATGCTGAACAATTCTAAAAGTCTTGAATTAATTAATTAATTAATTTATTGATTATTTATTATTTTTTTACTTTGTCAGAATTGTTTCACCTTTCTGTTCCTTCAGGGAAAAATCGACCCAACCACAGAAACCCATGATGGACTTTTTTTTTCATGATAGGACAGGGTTCCTACAGCTTAAAACAAGTTAAATTTAAGACTTTTTAAGACCTCTTTAATGCCACTTGAAATTTATTTTAAGACCAAATTCACAAAAGACAATACAAAAAAAAATAAAAAATATATAAAAAAGAAAAGATTAAGATGAGATGAGACGCATCAGGACAAAACCCCCCAAAAAACTTAGCCACAATTTTACCCAAATGTTTACTTAAACAAAACAAAATTTTGTTAACTTTAACAAAATAATTTACTAAATGAGAGGCATTCAGTAAATTATTTTAAAAACAAAATAAATTTTAAAATTATTGTAAAATTTGAGATGAATTACAATAATCATTTTTAGTAACAATGTGTTTTTTAAGACCTCTGAAAGATTGATTTAAGACATTTTAAGGCTAATTAAGGCCTTATTTCAATGCCTTTTAATGCTTTTTAAGGATCTGCAGGAACCCTGTAGGAAAAAGGGGTTCACAGCCAACAGCAGCCAACTTGTGTGGACTTGACAGAAAAAAAAGCTTTGCTTTGTTTTGGGAGTAAGGTGGGAAAAGGCCACTTTTTTCAAAAATTACCAAAAAATAAATAAATTCCCATTTAAAAGCAAAATGAATTGTGGGGTTTTTCAAAACTAAAGGCCAAACAGAGCTAAAAAATACTACTTTAAATTAGATATTTATACATTTTGTCTGGGACGGCTCGTTTCTGGTGGACAGAAATAATATTATTTTTCAGCAGGTATACAAGGTAGTTGTTTCCCCACCAGGAGCAGTTATCATCATAAAGCTAAAGGGCCTTTTCATGGTTAACAGAGCACTTTGCAGTTCTCAAAGCAGATAATAATTCCTCTAACACCACATTTAGTATGCCTCTACAGCAGGAAATGCCTCATTTCAGACACTTTCTGATGGCCTCATCATCTTTCCTGCCATGAAACGTCCTCCTGATCAGTTTCTCACCAGTGATGCTCTGCGGGAGCGTCGGCTCAGCGGCTGGTCGAAGGGTGGGCTGCTCAGCTGCAGCTTCTGCAGGTAGCCGTCGGGTATCCGGATGTCGGCGGGCAGAGACAGACGTTTGTTCAAGTCCTGCAAACAAATAAGAAAATACACGACGCCTGTTTAAACTACTGTAAAAACAACATCACATGGATAAATATCTGTGACTAAATCAGAACAAATCAGCCTGTTCAAAGTCTCATCTATCAAAGAACATAAGTTTATACACAAACACAAACATTGTGTATTTTCTTAAAACAAAGATCCATTTAAGGATTTAAAGCACTAAACAGTAATCCTCGTGATTTGTTATATAAACCATCTGAATTCTTCCCATCATGCATTCCCTCTGTTTGTTGGATCATTTTTAATCCTGCTGCGTTAATTTCCACCTCATTCTGAGGTACATTTAAACATTTTACACCCTAATCCTCGTTGTTCTCTACCAACTCACACAAACAAGCTGCTTCCAGCTCAGCTGATGGATCTGGAAATGCCTTCTGAGCGTCAGCAAAACACCACGATGACTCAACATTTTGTCACCAGTGACAGCTGACACATTCAGACAATCAGCCAAGTTATGAGAAGCAGAGAGCAGAAAGAAGTGATGCACGGCTGAATAATGTCACCAGACAGGTTTTTTTATTGTCGAGAAGAAAGCTGCTGTCAGGAACGGGCTTTTTTCTTCGCTGAATTTGATTGAATTATGGTCTGCGTGCAAAAACTGGATGTTTATCTACAACTTATTAACTTTTAGAGGGGAGCAAATTAAAGATGGCTGCCAAACTGATAACCATTACAAAAATAATTAAGAAAAAATGGCAATGACTGACAATTTTACAGATATTGAGATTAAATTATGTGTGGCTGTTGCTGAGACTGATATCAACACAAGGTCATTTTAATGTTTGTCATTAAATTTGTGGAGTCAATTGTGTCTGTTAGCAAAATATTCATTGAAACAAGTGGATGGGTTTTAATGTAACTTTAAAGAAACACACATTGGATATACTGTTACAACTTTTAGAGTCAACACAATCCAAGATGGCCACCAGAGCCTACTGACTAAAAAACACCAACAACAAAAACAAAAAGTTATAATTTAGTCATATTTTACAGATATTAGGCTAGAATTTAGCGTGTTAGTAGCTGAAAGTCATTCATATCAGATACACTAAAGACCACTTATTGTGTGAGATCTTAACATTAACAAACATTTGGAGTCAACACTGTTAGTAAAATATCTAATGAGCCATTGGGTTACTCTCAAAGTTACCCCGGTTGTACACCTACGATTGGAGTTAGCTTAAGTCAAGATGGCTGCAACAGATTATTGACATTAACAAACACTAAAATGTAATGTGGTAGTAGCTGAAAGTCATTCAAAACTCATACTCTGCATGAGATCGGTTGTAATATTTTTTAATTAATTGACTCTATAACAAAAAGTCAAGGCAGCAGTCGATCCATGAAAAATGCTAGGCTTTGGAAATGTTTTCTCTAATTTCCTAATTTTTGCAGCAGCTTAATCAACAGATGCTTGGTTTAGCACCAGTCTGCTCAGATATTTCAGGAACAATAATTCCAGCTCTGCTGTCCTGTCGCTTCTGTCCAAACAGCCAGAACTGGAGATTTAGCCTCAGATGGAATGATGCCGCTGGTCACCTGACCTTTGCACCCAGACCACCCTCCCACCCATCTTTGTCGTCCAATGGACTCGTTCTAATCTGTTACAACAGGGGCCCATCTGGACCGTATTACATTAATCCCTGTGATGTAATCCCAAAACTGCCCTGCTTCCTGTGCTGCAAGAGAAACACGTTCCACCGCCTGCCCACAGGGAGAGATGTTCTCCTGCTTCCTGCTACTTCTCTTCTACTGCCCTTTCTTTTACGAGTGCTTCACGTCACCAACATCAGTCCTGCTACGTAAACAAAGCATAAACTTTGTTTTGTCCAAAAGACTGTCATTTGTGTTGTCCAAATTCAAATCATCCTGATCTGGTTGTGAAACAGTCACAGGAAGTATGAGGTGTACTTGCACATGGTTCACAGTGAGAGAGGTGGTGTGTCACGTCTGTGTGGGTAGATCAAAAGGAGAACAATGCCTTGCTACTTTTTATGTGTTTTTTTTCCTCTTCATGCACGCTTGCACACTTGGTTTGTCTTTGCAGATGTGGCTTTCTGCTCGTCAATCCCCGGCAGCTCTGTAATCACAACAACCTACGAGCAGAGCCACTTCTTCAGCCAGAAAATCTTTACTCCTCTCAAACTCATTTCGTTTTTGTTCACGGCTAAAATCACTAATATGTTTAAAAAAAAACTACAACCATTTCTGTTTTAAGTAACTGTACGTTATGTCTGACAACAAAGAAATTCACAAAAATGTAACATTTTATTTTTCTTGGGCAGTCGCTTGGTGACAAAAGGACATGCAGTTGTCCCGACTCCTGATTTATGTCAAACGTTCATCCCTTAAAGCCCATTAGCAGCAGTTAGTCCATTAAGACTTTGAGCCTCCCTCACACACGCAGTCAGGTGCACTTCAGCTCTTAATAGTCTGAAGGCTGCAGCTGTAGATAAAATGTGCAGCTGGTAAATAAACTTAATGATATATAAAGTCCTCAAATACACTGTCAAAACTTGTGGCAGAAGCCTGTTTGCTGTTAATGTTTGTTTAAAACCCAGTGATACAAAACAAGGACAAAATATTCTATTTAGTTACTATAATTAATGTAATTAAACACGTTTACGTGTCCAGAATCATGACAGTAAAGTAAAAACTCTTTTAGCCGGAGATGGGCAGAAACATCTGCATAAGAGTTTTGATGTTTGTTTTACATGTAGAAAAAAAAGGTTTAGTTTTAATTAAAAGTTTTCTTAGCAAATTAAATGCAAAATGCAACTTCTTTTATTTATGTTAAGAAAATATCTCAAACAATTCAAACAATTAGGACATTTTTAAAATAGAAAAACCTTTTATGTTTATATTTTAAGTGAAAAATTGTGAGAGACACTTGGTACTTACAAACAAAAGATGAAATGCTGGTAAAAAATTTTGATTGTGTTTGTTAGCAAAATATCTCATGAACAACTGGAAGTGATTACTTCTGATATGTTTGGAAGCAACACAATTAAAGATGGCCGCCACAGCTAAGCAACCTTAGCAAATGTAAAACTGGCTGTAATTCAGTCAGTTTTGCATCAACTGCACATCTCTTTACATCTCTCAACATCATGAGACTCTAAATGTGACTAAAACAGCAACAAATCTCTTATAATTTCAGTTTCTGATGTTTCACCTAAATTTGATTCAAGTTTTATTGGAGTTCATTTAGAAACACGAACAGCTCAGGTTAGGAAAATACTGTGAAGCAAACTTCTCACTTTAAGGAACCTGAAAGGGTTTTTCTGTCATCTTTTCACATTTATGTAACCAGGAGAAGAACGCAAATGTCAGGGTGTGTGTGTGTGTGTGTGTGTGTGTGTGTGTGTGTGTGTGTGTGTGTGTGTGTGTGTGTG